CTGAGAAAAGGGCCCAGGCAGGCTGGGTCCACTGCCGAGAGCAGGCAAGGGCCACAAGGCACCGTGACCTGCTTGAGGGTCCAGGGAGTGTCCCAGACAGAGGCAGGAGCTCAGGTCTCCCGGGCAGGCAATGTCGGGGTCCCGGCAGAGGAGCTGTCCTCACAGTGGTCCCAGGAAGCTCAGGCCAGCTCTTCCAGAGTTACAGGCCTTTTGGTCAACTCAAGATAACCAAGTCTCCTTGCTGCCTCTGCCCTTGGGAGGGAGCTACCTCCTTTCTCTGGATGGCTGTGGGAACCCAGAGGGTGAGACATGCTCGGAGGACCAGGGGCCCTGCCTTTTTCTTGCTGCTGTCCTCCAGGGCACGGGCAGGGGCCTGAAGCAGCACATGGGTATGCCTGGTGAGCTCCCAGGAGCTTCATCAGATGGCAAGTCTCTCACCAAGACGGTTGCCCAGTTCATCTGATGCTCAACTACCAAGCAGTACACACCCCGGGCAACCCACAGTCTGAGACGGTGAGCAATCTATTGGACTTGGAAGTCTTTGAGAAGGACTGCTCAAACAGGGCCCACCTGTGTTCTCCTCCCCGAGGCAGTGCCCTCCTTCCTACTCTGCCCTTCCAGACCCAATGAGGTACAGGAGGTGTACATATAATTTTGCTCAGGGGGGCAAGTAGCCACCACTGGGCAGTATCACGGAGGCCTTGGTATTGGAGGCAACGTGCTGGTTGAGTAAGAGCGTCGGTGCCTGGGAGGTGATTGTTTGGCCTCGAGAGAATAGGCAGAGGTGATGTGCTGGTACCAAGCTGCGAGACTCCTGGGACCTGATGGAGAGGTCAGAGTGGGGAGCCACAGAACAGGCTGTCTGCGTCACCCTGGGACTACTGCAGTGCTTGCTCGAGTGTTCGGGAGGCTAGCATGCTCGGCTGCCACTTCCTTTGGTCCCCTCTCTCCAGACAAGATCATTGGGCACCCAGGAGGTATACTGATTTAAAATGGTGATTTCCTTCAAGGCTTACCCCAATGATAGCATCCCTTTCCCCCGTTCTTGTTTGACAAAAGGCTCAGGGCCAGGGTCCCACCAAATAAATGAAGTCTGATGAATCTGGACTTCCAACCCTTCCAGGGCAGCCTTAATGAGGACTGGCCTCGTGACCTGCTGAGACCTCTGGGAGCCATAGTGGGCAGTTACGGCAGGGCCACCTCGAGGCAGGAGCCACGTCTGTGAAAGCTGTGGAGGGGCCCTGACAGTGGGAACCCTGACACTACCAAGCAGGGTGTGGGTCCAGCTCTCAGGCCTGGTTCTGACTCTACATCAGCATTAGTGAGAGAATGACTTACCACGTTCCACCCATGGTGGAGCCACTGTCTTCATTTTTAGGGTTAGCAAGTTTACCTGCCCTCATCCAGGGACAAGAGGAGCCCTAGTGATGCAAACGGTTAAGTGCTCAGCAGCTAACCAAAGGTTTGGTGGTTCAAACCCACCCAGCAGCTCCACAGAAGAAAGAGTGGTTATCTGCTCCTGTAAAGACTGCGGCCTAGGAAACCCTATGGGGCAGTTCCACTGTGTCAGATGGGATAGAGTCAAAAGCAACTTGACAGCATCTAACAACAGTCTAGGGTCACCTGCCAACCACTGCCATCGAGTTGATTGCAACTGAACTCATAACTCCACCCAATTCTCTGTGTCCCAGGGAACAACTGGGGAAAACGATGGGGAAGGAGTAGTCAAGCAACAGCCTGTCTCTCATTTTAGTCAGAGGAGGCCACTTGTCTCAATGGGGTATTTAGTGGGGAGGAAAGAAAAGGACAATTAATGGGCTACATTTATGGGGAAACCTGAAGTCCTATCGTATGTGTCAAGGCTCAGCTGCAAGGGCACCCCAGTCATCAGGGAAAACACAGCTCGCTCTCTGTCCAGATCAGGCCAGCAAGGGGTGTGTGCCCATGGCCAAAGGAGAGGTGGGTCAGGAAGGAGCTCAGGGCAATCAAGTCCATCGCAGAAGGGCATGTCTGCTTACTGGCTGAGCAAGCCTGGGCTTGCAGCTTACCCCACTCCAAAGCAGGGAGAACGACAGTTTGTTGTACAAATCATATGAGATGACATATGAACACTTTGGCACGGTGTGTGACCCTCAGTAAGTGCTCAAGAAACACGAGCTTTAGGGGAAATGTTAGGTACAAGGCAAACCTTAGCTCAAAGGACTGCTCCAGAGAGCAGTTCCTTGGCAGTGAGGACCCAAGTAAACTATAATGTCTAGTGGTCCAATGAGGAGACAGAATCATGACAGCCAATTGAGGATTAGCTAAGCCCGGTCTGCTTGGTTGATGGTTATCATTGTAAATGTGCTTTTGTTCAAATTCCCAATGATCTGTGTCCACAGCTAATGAACTGTGGTTTTCAAAAATTTACATTCTGTTTCTTCCTCGTAAGAGTCCTCATGCACATCTTTAAACAGTTTGGTTTACACAATCCTCAGGTAGTAAACTTCCTGCAAACTGCTCTACCTGCTGCTGTCAGCTCTGCCCACTGTTGGCAGACCTTTAGCCCACAGAACGCAGGCTCGGCTTACTGCCAGCCCTCAGCAGCCCTGCTCCGTGTCCACATCCCACTGTTCCCACCAGGCACCTATATGGTAGACATAAGTGCTCTTCCAAGAGGCAAATCCCACCCCATGGCAGGGCTCCTTGCTCACCAACCTCAACAGAACACCTGGTATTTGCACAAAGCTTACTGACTGTGCACACTTTGAGGGTATGTATCAAGAGTCTATATTCTGATGCACTCCCGCTACCCACCAGATGCCTCTTATCAGACGCACTATGCCATTCAATCCTCAACTCCATCATGGTCCTCTGTTAAAAACGAGCAACGTGGCACAAAAGGGTAACGACTCATGCATCAGGTCACACATCTCCGAGTGGGCAAAGCAAAAGGTAACCAACAAGAAAACGCTCTCAACTTATTTGTTCCCTGCCATTTTTACCGTCCATGACCGATTTTACAGAAAATGCCAAAAACGGATGCTGTACTTGCAGCCTAGAAGGCAAGTCATTTCCTATTCAGGTGTCCCTCATAGAAGTTCCTGGGGCACAAGCAGGTAGGTGCTCAGCTGCTAACCAGAAGTTGGAGGTTCGAGTCCACCTACCTGGGAGGAAGGCCTGGTAACCTGTTGTTGTTGTTGTTACTGGGTGCTTTTGAGTCGGCTCCGACTCACAGTGACCCCAGGGACAGCAGAAGGAAACACTGCCCAGTTATGCACCATCTCACAATCACTGCCATGCCTGAGCCTATCACTGCAGCCACCGTCTCAGTCCATCTCATTGAGGGTCTTCCCCTTTTCACTGACTCCACTTTACCAATCTTCTCCAGGGATTGGTCCCTTCTGATGGTGTGACCAAAGTACAAGAGACACAGTCTGGCCCTTCTTGCTTCTAAGGAGCATTCTGGCCACACTTCTTCTAAGATTAGTTCATTCTTCTAGCAGTCCATGGTGCATCGGATATTCTTCACCAACACCACAATGGCGATCTACTTTCAAGAAATCAGCCAAGGAGATGCCTAGGAAGCACAATCTACTCTGCCACATGTGGTGTCACCGTGAGATGGAAATGACTTGACGGCAACTGGTGTAATATGAGAGGCAACAGTGAATGGAGCTCTGACTCCCCTCCTTAGCAGTTACTTAATCTTATGCAACTAACGTCTCTAAGACTCCATTTCACTGTGTAAAATGGGGATAACAGCAATACTGACTTTAGAGGATGCTTGTGGGATACCTTGGCACAGTGAAGGGCTCCCCCTAGAGGCAGCAATTATTACATACACTGGATGGCAGGGCTCCTTGTGGTGGTAGGGCTAGTGTACCAGACAGGCTGCCATTACCAAGTCAGGATATTAAGACTTAAAAGACTTAAAATGTTCAAACCAGGTACCCTGCTGTGGTTACATCGCACTGGGCTTCTGGCCCTCCCCACTGACACACTGAATCCCTCCCCTACACGACTGCTCTGCTACCAAAGCCCAGAAGGGCGCCTCCACCAACTCATCCTCACCCTTCATTTCAGTACATAAAGCAGCAGCTTGGTTGACAACAGCAACTCCAGAGATGGGACAGGAACCTTAGGGGACAATGAGTTTATGTTACTTCAGGAGGAACAGCTCAGCAAAGAGGGTGAGAACGGTTGCACAGCTCAAAGAATGTAATCCATGTCACTAAACTGTTCGTGGAGAAATTGTTGAGTTGGTGTATAGTGTGCTGTGTATATTTTCAACAACAAAATACAATTTAAAGGGAAAAAATATATATACAAGGGAAAAATAAGAAGGTTGGGCTGGCAGCTGAAGAACTTGATGCTGAAATCCAAAGTGAAGGGCACAAAACGGCCTCTAGACGTCGGTGCAGGCTGTCTCTGGAGCAAGCAGCTGGTCCACCGCAGCATTCACACCAAACACAGGCCCGTGCCTCGGATGGGTCTGTGCATCTTGGGGACGTATTTAGGTGACCCAACCCCAGAGCACTGGTTTTACTTGCAGATTTGGGAGTGGAATTAAATCAGTAACTAACATGCTAATATAAAATGTTATTCTCATATGAAAACTAATGTGCTATGAATTAGAATGCAGAATGTACATTAATTTAAAATACAAAACTACAGAGGGCCAATTTGGACTAGGCTCTTAGATCTAGATATCTGTATGCTCAAATTCTTCTGCCCTTTAAGAAAATCTGATAGACAAGTTCTAGACACAGTGTTGCCAGCTCTCCCCACGCCCCCTTCTTTAATGAAGTTAAACCCATTTCCGCAGACAAAGTCCTATTCAGGACCTCAAAACCACATACACTCATGTCTCTGGAAGACATAAGAATGATGCCTTCTCAGGGATCCTCTAAATCAAAGGGACTGTTTTAAAAAGACCCTCATTCTTAGAGGGGTAGCTGACCAATTAAAATACTTCACGGAATTACACAGCGTTGACCATTTCCAATTCTCTGTTTCAGGATCTTATCAACAGCATCATTACAGCTGTGTTCCTTTTAATAGTTGCCATCTTGGCGATGCAGGAAAAGAACAGAAGGAAGTTGTTCTATACTGGAGGGGTAAGCAGAGGCCTTCACAACTTGGTTTAACATCACAATTCTAAGACTCTTTGAAAAGGGAAACTAGCAGGCCATTGCTATTGTATTTCTAGAACAAACCCCCCCCCCCAATGTCTCCCTTGCACTGACTTCTTCAGAAGATGTGGAGATGTACATACTGAAATCATGAACATCTTCATTTGAACACTCATTCTCCAAACAAGCACAAAGGCAAGAATCTGGTGAATGGATCCCTCATGAGAATCACACACACTCATTTCTGAAATGTTAGAACAAAATACTCTTGGATTTTTCTTTTTTTCCTGGCCTAGAGAATTGTATTTTAAAGGCAGATGAAAAGAGTACACTGCAAAGGAAAAAAGTACACCGTCAACAATGAGTAGCCCAGCCTATTCAGGAAGGAAGGAAGGAAGGAAGCTGCCTGAGGTGAAGTGCCCAGGGCCTGCCTCACCCAGGACCAGGCACATTCTGACAATCTTTACAACTCTCATTTTTACAGACATGAGAAGTGAGATGAACACCTTGCCTTGGGCCACAAGGCTGGGACAAACTAGAACTCACAATCTGAGCTGTGGCTGGTGGGTTTGAACTGCAAGCCTTCTGGTTAGCAGTTAGCCTTAGGCACTATGCCACCAGAGCTCCTTCAACGTATAAAAGAGCACAAGAAATGACCAAGTAAATGCTTGGAAGATGAGGGAAAGGGTGACAGGGCTAAACAATGGGGACAGAAATTAATCAAGGAAAAAGGTTTAAATTCTACGAATTCATTTCATTATCAGTAAATATTTCTCAATCCCATAGGACTGTGCCAGCCCTGATCTCCATGCTGGGGAATAAATAGAATCTCTTCCTGGGGGGAGCTCACAGATTAGCTGGGGCAAATTCATTAAGCAGCCAGAGTTGAGTGACCATAAAGAGAAACCTCCAAGCCAATCACGTGGAGCCAAGCCCTGGGAATCCGGGACCTTCTGTGGGCTTCTGGTCCCCAACTGCTAGCTCAGTTCCGGGCCTCCACCTACCTGCTTGGGGCGCCCACCCTCAGGTCTCCATCAACTCTTTCTTACCTGGCTAGCAGCAGCTCCCACCCCGCATCTCCTGCCCCTTATCCCCAGTTCCCTGTCTCCATTCACTTCATGGCCACTGCAAGGGAGCTTTCTAAGTCTTGCACTTGACCTCAGCCCTCAGTCCTTACCACCATCCTTTGGAGAGAGTTCCAAAATCTGTGCTTCTCCAGCCTTAACTCTGCCTCCCTCACGTGCCCCCATCAGATTCCCATCCACCCCAATGCCTGAAGTTCCCCTCTTCCTTGTTAGTGTCCCTGGAAACTCCTTTCTGGCCTTTCAAACACAGCCCAAGGGTTCTTTCCACTGAGAAGCCTCCTCAGGACCTACTTGTAAATGACCAGTGTCCTTCTGTGGCCTTATCCTGGTGCCTCAGCATCAGGTGAGGCCACTACTGGCGGCAAGAGCCACCATTTCTCAAATCCCCTCTGCCTCTAGGAAAGGCAGAATGGGCCTGAGGTGGCCAGCCAGGCAGACACCTAGCAGAGGAGGCTGGTCAGTGGGGAAGACCAGGCCCTTGCTGCTCCTGCCCAGGATGGGGACAAGAGGGTGCTGCTGTGTGCTATAAAATAACCCCACCTTTCATTCCCGCCTGTGGTCTTGTCTTGGACAGTCCCTGTGTCTTGCAGCTGCAACCGTGTGTCTCATCGATGCGTTTGTGGTCACCAAGAAGATGAGGACAACCTTGAAAACATTCCTGCAAATCAATGTGGAAAAAAAGCAAGTCCACCCGTCAGGACACTCGCAGATGCACCTATCTTCAGCCCATCACACCCCTACCAACTCCTGAGCTCGAGTGCTGTCACCCATTCTAGCCCACGTGTGACCATAAAATCAGGGCTGCTAAGTCAGGAACACTCCGGTTCCCTCGTGTTGCCTTGCGTAAAAATCTTGTTACTTGTTCATGCACGTGGTGCTGCGCCCACAGGGCGCAGGGCACATGGCGCGACTGCCCCAAGAGGCCTGGCTATGGCCGCGACCTCAGGTTCCAGTCACCAACCGGACCTGGAGATGGGAGCAGCGGCTTGCGTCTTGGGGACCACCTGGCGAGGCTCCTCCATGTCCGCGAGGGGCGCTCGGCGTGGAACTAGCACCAGCGTGGTGGGCGCATTGGGAGTACCCAGCGGGGCCCTCTGCGTGCACGGTGGTGGGGCTGACCGCTGCTGGGAGAACACGACCTGCGCTGCCCTGCGCGCCGCGAGACACGGCAGGACCCCTAGCGGAGGTGGGACCCGCGCGGTGAGCCAGCGCGCGCGCAGAGCACAAGCGTTGGGGTCGCTGGGCCAGACGGTTGGCTGAGCGTGGCTTCCGGGCAGGTCGGTGGGCACCAGGCTCTCGCAGGCCAGGGCTGTTCGGGAACGGGAGAGGTTGGGCAGCCTGTGAAAAGCTAAGGACTTCGACGCGAAGATGGCTGATAAGGGCAAGGCCAAGGCCAAGGCCAAGGCCAAGGCCGCGCCAGC